ACCTACTCCACAATGCTTGATAAGTGTCAGGGCACACCCGCCTGACCTGGGTCCACTGTCATGACTGACAAATCCCGGGGCTCCGTCAGCGGCGAATCAATGCCGACAGGCAATTCCTCTGACCCGAACCCATCCGTACCAGCCCCAACCCGATGTCTGTTCTATCGACCATGCACCGCTTCCGCACCTTCCACAACCTCTGTCCATTTCTGGTTGTCCTTGACACCTCTGGTCAGGTCAACACTCCCCTCCGTATCTTGCTGGCCATCATGCTGTCCTTTTATGACAGCACTGACAGACCACCCTCTGTTGCGGACTCATCAGCACCATGCTGATTCCCGCATCCCCCCGCGGACCTGTGTCGGCATCGCACCAACCCCGCATCCTGATTTGTGGACTTGTATCGGTGCCGCATGCTGACCTCCGCTTTTCCTCTGGCCATTTGTCACTTGGCAGCTTATCATTCATTCCTTGCCAAGTGCCATTTATTGTTTGCTTCCCTGCCAATATCAGCATTTGATCCCCTCTTTATTGGCACTAGGTTATTGATCTCATTCAGTTATTCATCAATAACCCTTGCCACTTATTGTTTATTGATCTGTTCCTCGTTTCCAGTTCCCGGGCTCTTGTTCTTATTTAGTTTGACAATCCCCGCTTATCTCCGCACCGGACCGTGCCGGACTGACCGGCCTTTCTATATTCCCTCTTGCCTATTTATATACCTTGTAAATACTTTGGGGACCTCAGTCTGAAATCAACTAGAGTACCCCCCTGTCTGGTCTGAGTCCCTCCTTCTGCAAAGGGGGCTTCCCCCCTCTGAGTCCATGCTCGCAGAGTCCATGCTCCTCCTACAGGTCCGCTCCACCTGCAAGTCTTGTTTGAAGTCCGCTGTAAGTGTCAGTCTGTAAATATGGGATCTCCCCCAAACGTCAAGCTCAGGGCACAGCGCTCCACCTGAGTCGCTGAGGCCACGATCCCACTCTGCTAACCTTGAACAGCGCTTCCGGACGCGCCGCATATTTCCACCTGCATATCCGCATGCGTGCTCCAACAGACCTCTGCATCACCTCCAACCTCAACTCAGACAGAACCCAATCCGTCTTCCATCTGCCTCCTGACAGTGTTCGACTCTGACAGTACTTCCGACTCTGACAATAATCTCCAGATTCTGACATCCACCCGGACCCACCCGGCCACACCACACCCGCTCCCCACTGTCCATCCCTCTCCCTCCTCCTTCCTCCCTCTCTTCCCCTTCCTTTCCCTCTTCCTTCTCCTTTCTTTATTTCATTCTTCTCATCTTCCTCTTCCTGTTTATTTCTTTCTATCTACACGGACCATCTTCCTTTGTATCGATGTACTATTGACCCATCCGGCCCACACACCCCAGACGGCTTCCCACTGTGCCCAGCACATGTGCATGCAGCGGACGCTCTCGGGATCCCCCACAGGGACACCCGGATGCCTGCAGCTGTCTCCAAGGATGATGTGGCACTTGTCATGTGACTCAAGCCGCATGTACATAAATGTACCTGAAGTGGGAACCAAAGAAGTAACCTTCTTCTCACATTCTCCACTTCAGGTAAGTAGTATAGTTTTCCCCTTTAATAATAATAACACATTCTCCACTTCAGTCTAAGTGGCCAGGGACCATTGTCCCAGATCGGGCCTGCCAGTACGCATGCCCACTCCACACCCTGCAACGGCCTCAGTGCCAGGCATTACTCCCGGGCCCTCTCGACCCCGGACGCGTCCCTGACGATAAGGCGATTCTCTCACAAGCTTGCCAACCCAGCAAGTGGGTAAGTCCCTCTTGGGTTTTCCCTTTGTTCCCATTTGTCTCTTATTATGTATATAAGTCCTGTACCGTAGTTGATGGCACCTGAGTGCAAAATCGACAAATGACTATCCCCCAGAGTTCATGCCCCTCATTCTGAAGTTAAGGACCAGACTCTTAAGCGTTACCGAACGTAGGCACAGCGCTCCTCTCCGAGTCGCAGAGGCCACAGTCCTCCTGCCCGTTCTCTACCTCCGGCCTCCCTTCCAGGGAAAGGTCCAGGAACACTGCCCCTCCTCGCTGTGTCCTGACACAGGGGACGACTCCCAGGTCCCCATGACCCTCCCCTGGTCCACAGCCTCACATGTAACTAGCCCTGTCCAGGGCACAATCCTACTATGGGTAAGGAGATGAGAAGGAAGCTAACTTCTTGTAAGGTCGGTGTAGGTGCCGACCTTGTATCTCCTAGTTCCTCAAGTCTGTCAAAGAGATAAGCTGTATAGAGCTATATTTCAACAGGTGTGGAGGAAAGGAGTTAAACTCCATTCATCTCACACTCCATTATATAAATATGTAATTACATTGTTGTACATTATTTATAGCAAGGGAATAAAGATGGTTGGCCTCAAGGAATATCACTCCTTACACTCGAACCCTTCGGTTTCCGGAGGTTCGTCTATCCCCAATAGAAGCGTGTCAACGCCCACGCCCACACCACGCGAAAGCGGCGCGGCCATGTCCGATGACGAGCTGGACGCCTATCTGGAGTCCCTCACATGTAAACCCCACAGAGTTATCAACTGCCGCTCCTGCAATCCGATAGGAAGGACAGACGCATCTACTAGCAAAAACTCCAAGAAGAGGGCATCCGACTTCTCACCACCACTGAGCCGTGCGGCACCCTCAAAACCAAAATCACCAACACCAAACGACACCCCCAAGAACCTCGCCGACCACTTCATCTCATGCATCGACTCTGCTTGGGAAACTGTCAATGATATACGACACTCCTTCTCCCCACCAACCATAAGTGAGGTGACTAAGAAAAGAATGGAGGAGATTTGCACGCTGTTTGGCCAACCACCGGCCCCAGATACTGCCTCCCTATCCAAAGCTCTTGAACTAGCCACCGAAACATGCAATACCCTGGCCCAGTCCAATGCCGCCCTAACAGCAGAACTGGCGAAAATGAACGACAAACACGCAGAGCCCAGCACGACGCGTAACACCGACGCGCATGAGAAGACAAACTCCCCACAAACTACCACACCCCCAACTCAAAACAGCAACAGCAACAGCTTCACACAATCAGAAAACCCCACCCCGATCAAACCAACGAGAAAAAAACTGCCCCAGCCACAACTCCCAACTCAAAAGAACCACTCTAGTCGCCTGATCATCGCCACCGACCCCCCTCTCCCCATCCATAAACGCAATATACAACCTGAATCAGTCAGATGTATTAATGCGCAACTGAAGGGAAAACACCCCACGATGAATAAGCAAGTTCTGGCTGTGTACTCCTCTGCCCGAGGCAACCTTGTCGTCGTCGGAGCGGTCGGAACACATGCAAACGACCTAGCACCCCTAAAGGACGATATAATCTGCATCATTGATGACAGTCAGCCTTACCGCACAACAGCGTGGCAAGACAAAGCACTATACCGGAAAAAGCTTGATGGTGTTCCAACCAGGGAACTACCAGGACAAACCCCTTACGCCCCTGAACAAATCCTTACTCAGCTACGGGAAGGATATGGTCCACTCTGGGATAATTTTACCCCCACTTCTCCACCAGCTTGGTTGGCAAACGATGAGACCCTACAAGTGAAACACAAGGCATCCCTGGTCTTCACTTTTGACAGCCCTGAAAAGGCCGAGCGTTTCCAGAATGCAAAGGCTTTCTATGTGTATGGTGCCCTGGCCACAGTATCTGACTACAAGGATCGCCCACGCCCGGTCCATTGCGAAAAATGCGCATCACTCCACCACATGTCTCACCAGTGCAAGACGGAACACCGGTGTCACATATGCGGCGATGAGGAACATGCAACAACTGTCCACCCTCAAGACCGACCACCAAATTGCATCAACTGCGGTGAGGAACACCCGTCATCAAGCCGCAGCTGCCGTGTGTATTGCAAGAAGGCACAAATTACACCCAAAACATCGAAAACCTGCACGGGTAAGGCTACATGCCCCACCATTGAGGTCTCAATGAGAGACAACCCGTAACTGGGATCTGCCCCTTCTTCCATTTACTTCACGTTATTTACATGACACCCACCCCTGACTTCACCAACCCGAGGATCTTCTAACACCCGACGCTACCAACCTGCCCCCACTTGAATGTATTGAAAATCCCTCATGTACGCTTCGGTGTCATCGATGGGATAGCCGCACTGCCACGTCATCACGAGGCCGCGGGGTATTAAGAGAGATTAATCATCATCATCATCACTCCTTACACTTCTCATCTTCCCACAGTGGCCACAATATCAGGAAAACTTCCAGGAATATCCAGAAGTCACATGAAGGAAGAGACCCGGGGCCTGGGGCAAGCAGTGCATGGAGCATGCACATGCGGGAAGCGTAGCAACCGGGTCCGGATGCGGGTCCGGGCTAGGTCAGGGTGTGTGCCCTGTACTATATTTGCAACAAATTTACTAGTACACTTCCCCATCCAAACTAAAGAACCAGGGAACAGATTGGTGGTGGTCTCATTAGAACCTCCCAACTGGCCTTCCTTTGTTCTCTCCTTCAATGCATTCATGGCCTTAACTAAGCACCCATTTTGGGAGACCATTATTGAATAGGTTCCCACGGGGATGAGAGTGGTCAAATGGGTCAATATTTAGTGGGCTGCTCCGAGTTACATGTGCCCAATCCCAATTAATAGGATATCAAACTGGAACTATTTTGCGAGTCCACGAGGTATGAGTCTGGCAATATAACAGCATTTCAGAAATTATTGGAATGTCTAAGCACACCGGTATCAGAGCAACACTTGACCAAGTTCCGAAGAACAAAGCCAATTCCAGTATGCATTATTCCTGATAAATTGGGGCAGTTTAAGCCTCAGAGCAACTGCGCACCCAGTGATTAAAATTAACTCCTGATGTACAACATCTCATCGGCTTTATTATAAAAATGATTTTGCCAACCTTAATTAAACACAGTCCTATTTCCTGTTGCATTCATCACAAAGTGGATTATAGGGATTCTACCAGTCGATCTGCACCGTTCGCGGATCCATCCCAAATGCAGCACGCAGATTCACAACGCCACCATCAACACTCGAGTAACCATAACCTCGGAAAAATGCAGCATGTGACATTACGACTTGCTCAAGGATCCCCAAAACATCTGTGAAAAGCAGAGGCCACCCAACCATCCGTCTGTCGTCAGGTGTGAGGAGATCCATGATGAGGTTGGCATTATTTTCACGAAAGTACGTCAAGGCTTGTTTTGAGCGCTCATCCGTGGCCAGGAAGAACCTGTGCAGGGGGTAGGCAAGATTGAGTGTCATTGAAATTCTGACGGCCAAACTTCTTGGGACGAATCTACTCACTTATCACCTTCACTCGGGGGGAGAGCGTGTGAGAAAGAGGCGCTGGCTGTCACATTCGGAACGTTGTAGGTTGTCCAAGTTACATTATTCTTCACCATGTTCCGTAAGATCTTAGCCCCATGTGCTATGCTGGCTTTGATCCTATCGAATTGATGCTCAAGTGTATCCCCTGCTTGCCATCCCAATCGGACAACTATTTTGCTGGGAAAATCAATGGATCATCATGATGGCTAAACGAAAGAGACTGACAATCTCCACGTCGCATGTGAGCTGCAATCCACATTCTTCCTTCGTTAATGATACGCATCCTGTCAACGACATCCGCCGCGGTTTGGAGAATAGACGGGATAGGACGAAAATCATGCAATACCATGTAATCGAATTGATTCCGAGCCGCTTCGGACGTGAAATGAAGATCACCCTAGAGACGAATTGGACTTAGGGAAGGAGGGATGGCGGGCCAATTAAACTACTGACTGGTGGTCGATCCCCATGTGTAGCACCTCTGAGAAGAAGAACATCTTCTGTTGCGGCTCCATACTCATCCACGAAACCGCGAAGGTGCTCACGGCGCCCAACCTCCTTCGAAGGCTCAGCTACGCTCTTGTGGACTCTCGAGCTAAGGCGACCATGAATGACTAAGTTTACGGTCCGAACAAAAGGATGAGGCGCACCCTCCAAATGTATACAGTAAGACCCAACCCTCGGCCTCCAACAGATGTTCTAGTTCATCCTCGCCCTCCCATACCCTCAATCCTGCCTCTTTCAGTATCCTTTTCACTTCTTCGAAATCCAGTGTATGCCAAGCGTCGTGTTCTAAACGTTGAAGCAGCACAGCTGTAATTCGTGTGGTGTTGGTGGGTACCCCTGGCGGAAGAGGCGCCAGTCTGTCGACACGGACAACTTCCCCGTGCGGCCCATGATCGAATTCTCCGTTGGGAATGATGGAAATGGTGAACGGAGGCGCGATGGAGGCTCCAAGATATGCTGTCTCCCTGAACGTCCCATCCGTTTGTTCTAAAGAATTGTTAAGGCCATGGAGTTGCAGGAACTCGGAGGTAGTGATCACTGGGTGTAAGCGTCGGAGGTGGGTGAGATCAACCATGACTCCAACAGGCATCCGCCAGCCCCTTGCCAAACGTTGGGAGGCATGTGAATGATCTGAGATGGAGCAAAGTAGCATGCTTACATCTGCTCCTCAATGGGAAGCTGACGCCATTCATCTGACCCTATCGCATCGCCACGGTTCACCATGGTTGCGAATTCTGCACAGATGCTTCTATAGGTGAAGTGAAGAGAAATGGATGGATTGGGACTAGAAAGCAAGGGGGGCTTACATCTCGTGCTCGCAAGCTCTGGCATAAACAAACGACGGGATTATCAAGGTTCGGTTCAGCAAGCTGGCGTGCAGTAGGGATGCCTCCATAATGTAGCGCATCTCCGGCCACGAGGGTAAGCTGGGTCTGAGACTACGGTGATGAGAAACGGACTCACGTTGTTCCATCCGAGCCCAAGAGGGTAATCACGAGCATAATAACCTTTCGTTTTCGACACCATCTCTCGAATACCTTCGAGTGTGCATGTATCTTCTCCTGGGACAATGTACTGGCCAATTCCCGGACGAACATAGGGGTGTGGAGATGAGGAAATAACCGACGTTGTATCATTTGGCGGTGGTGCCTGCACACGTTCTCGATGAATGAAGCTTCTTGGGTCAAGTCCGAAAGCAAGCAAGTTGAAGGCAATCCCGGTGACAACGGCAAGGCCAAAAAAGAGACCCAGACGTATCATCGAGCCAGCTCGCCCCCCTGGCTTGCGAAGCGTTGTGCGGACTTCGTTCTCGATATCGTCTACGGACTCGCCGAGTGGAAGTAGTCGGTACGACATAGAGGAATGTTTCCGGGGCTTTTAAGACCACTGAGGCGAAGAGGACGACCTTGATACCCTGGACCCAGACTCGAAACCAGCCGTCTCCGCTTCGTGGACGACTGCACAATGTATGGGGTAGGCCAGACTCGTACCCAGTCGTGGACGCGCGCGACAAATGTAGAGTCACGTTCTGTTTCAATACAAAAGGTCACATGCTACACAGGCTACTCCGAAAAAATGCATGATGATAGAGGCTCCGACGACTGAAATTTAACCCCTATTAATACAGTTGGTCGCGTCCGATCCTTGACTAGGCTGACATCTCGGGGGGTCCGATTCTAGTATCTTTAGTTCGTGTATGGTATCGCGTGGTTGGTTCTCTTTTCCTCATTTACATCAGTATTTGTTTGTAGTAGCCTTTTGTTGGGCTCCTGCGCGCGCCTTTATTTTGCATTTGGACCTGTGTCATTTCCGCTAGAGTCTCGTCGGTCGCGGAGTTTAATCTCTTCATTGCCTTATCACAGCTTATCATTCTTTGTCTCGTCTGCCTCCCTCCTCGAGTTCTTGTCCGCGTCTCTCTACTCAGGCCTCACCGCCGATAGGCCCGTGACAGAACAGTATGAGAACGTTTATATTACATTGTGTAAAAAGCTATTACATATCTCACGCGTCCACGAGCTCCTCCAATTGGGTACGACTCCGAGTCTGTCATATTGCCCACAATCAACAATTTTCTTGCAGCCCTGCTTCGGGGCCCGCGCCAGCAAACACCCGGTTGGCGGCTTACATAACCGATGGGCATTCATTTAGTTTTGCAAATTGATTCCATCGGACCAACGTGTGTTTTCCCATTTCATCTAAATGACAATTGCACATGCGTTGCACCCAAGCTGCCCGTCATGCACCAGACGCGTAACCTCCTTTACAATTAACTAGGCGTTATGGTCAGAGCGCACCGCCGGCAATTGTTGTGGAGCAGCTCCTATGTTGCATTACATAAACTGTCTCCAAGCTCGTTACTGCGGACCTTCCATACTGGGGACTTGACTAGCAATCTTTCGGCAAATGATGTATGGCACAGGGGTAGTCTCCTATATTCGCTGGCGCCTTTCATGAAACATGTCAGTACTGCCAGCCTAGTTGGGCATTTCTCACAAATATATACATGTCCAGCCCTCAACCATTCAATTTTTATACATTGTCGCGTCGCCATGTTACTCTGCCTTCAACACCCCTGTGGGCTGTAGTCCACAATGGCTTTTCCTGTAATGGAGCTTTGCACAGAGCGGTGCCCGGAAGGGTCAAACGAGTGTCTTTTTCCACAGCCGAAATTGGGTATTAAAAGCCCCTGCCGTGGTGGCTCCGAATCTGGTTGAGGAGGCCCCTAGATCTTCTGATTCTGAACAGTTCCCATCACTGTAGCGAGTGACTCGGGCACATTGCTTCTCAACTTTCCCAACCCCAGCTTGAATTAAATGTGTTTCTGGAGATCAAACGTAATTACATACCGTAAGCACCCAGGATTATGTCGATGGGCTTCTGGCGCTGACTTGATGCATTCCAAGTTTGTGGTGAGGCCGTTACATGTTGCAAGATCTTCTAATCTTGTTTGGTTTGCTCAGGCGACACACTCAAAGAACCAAAAGCAAAAGTAAGTTTCTTGCGTCTTCGCTATTGCGTTTGCTGGTATGAATGCGGTCGCCAGGTTGACTGCCAACTCAGTAACTGTCGTTTCAGCAAACAACACTCACGCAACTGCCTTGATTGTAAGGGACTCAGTAAGCGGCTTGCACGTGTTTCCTGACCTGCGGTCTCTGACAGTTTCTGTTGATTAGATCACATACAAGAGTAAGTATATGATTAATATTCGGAGATGACTGATGAAACCTGTCGCTGACTTCAAAATGCCTGGCAGCATGTCCTTGATCATTGATCGCCAGCTTCTTCAGAGTAAAGTTCTGTGCACAAAATGTCGACAGAGAACCTCTGGTGCTCAATTCCACACACATAAACCAACGCCTTGGATGGAATCATGTGTGAGCCCCTATCCAATTGGTCCTTTGACGGTTCCAGGTGATCATCAGTGAAATTCCAGAAGCCCAGAGGCATTCCGTGTAGACATTAGTTTGGATCCGCTCCAGCAAGGTATTGGCCTTTAGCACCTTGCTAAAACTTAGTCCGTACCCACTGCGTCGCGTTCACCATGTGTTCCTGCTTACAAGTCCACTAGCTGTGAAGACCAAAGCGACGTCAAGCTTGTGGTAAAAACTAATTCGCTTCTGGGGACCCCCTCTTGCCCTCGTATCTAAGTCTTGGACCCTTTTTCACTTGTGTATCGTTACATCCTGGCTAATTCTCGGGCGAACTCAACCGTGTTTGCAACACTGAGCCTGTTCTACTGCCGCTAGCAAATGAAATGTATCTTTCCCCCACTTACCCGCACTGATCATTTAAGTGTGAGACTTAGATGGACGTACAATTTGTGGAAGGCAATGCCATCCTCGCCGAGCAAACTGTCACCCCATCCGGAAGTGGCAGTGCAGCTTGTAGATCTTCACACAACGCCGATCAGCCGCTGGCAGCCCAAAGTGTCTAGAATCGGATATCCCAATACTCTCTTCCAATATCTTATCTGGAATGGCAGCTCTGTCGTATCAGCTCACAAACGCTCTATCGAAGCTGGCATCGTGGGGTGCCGGTCCAAGCCTACTTTCTCTACTGGAACTTGACGATGATGGGAGCGAAGTATACCACAGGTTGGTTGATGGGATTCTTGTTGCTTACCCCACTTATAGATTTGAGGCAGACCTCAGAGTTCGACCCGCCGTTTCAACGAACTTCCTGACGAAATCATGGCAACCATCTTTCATAACCTCGTCGGGGATGACAGAAGCCTTATTGCAGCAACATCTGTGTGTCGCTTGTGGCGTAGTATAGCACTGGACCGCGCCACTTTATGGTCCACAATATCCTTTTCGTGTAATAACGACCCCAGTAGACCGTACAAGGACCCTGAGGCCGCTTGCGAGAAGGTCAAAATGTTCCTGGAAAGGTCGAGATCGTGCCCCTTGTCACTTGGGATATACATCAGCCATAATTTCTACGAGGCGGACGAGTTTCTTAAAATTGCGATTTCTCACCTCCATCGATGTGAACGGATTGTCATTCGTCTTGATGGTCCATCCCATGCCTTAAAGTTACTACCTCTTCCAGGACCTTTGACATCGTTGAGGATCCTTGATTGCGATTCCATTTTCCCAATTTCTAATCATACTCTTCTGACTTCGCAAGCCCGATGTCCATTAGAAATGTTCAGCTGGACAAGCATGGGTGGAAGTGGTCCCGAAACAACACTAAAAGATCTTCTCGCTTATGTGGATCCTGGTCGCCTTCGGGTCCTCAGACTGAGAAATGAATGGCTTGAGAGAATGGATTGGATGGTCGTCGCGCGTTATACGAATTTGGAATCACTCGAAGTTGGATGTGCCGGCGAAACATTAATCTGGTCTATCGAGGAAGACTCGGACTTTCCTGTTGTTCATTTTAATCGTCTTCTTAAACTTACGCTCCATGGAATCGTTTCTGGGTGTCTTATTCCCCCAATGCTCCGAGCGGAATTACTCAGACACCTGTGTATGTATGTCGACTATGGCACTCATAACGACATCCAGTGTAATCTCCAGCACAGTCCCCACTTTCCAAACCTCCAATCATGCATCCTTCGTATACGATGGGGTTTCCCAGCGGACCTGCTCAAAACCTTTTTAAATACTCACACCAACCTTGTTGCCATCGAGCTCCCTCTTTGCCATCTGGGAGTGTTACAATACCTAGAGCGCCAATCACCCGCTTCATCCTTTCCATTGAGGCTCCTCCGGCTGCGGATCACGGACTTTGACATGGCGTACATTCCAGAGGATCATTGCACAGGACTTGTGCGCGATTTGACGTGCTTGTGTGAGAAACGCATGGCTCCAAATTTTGCCTTGCAAGTCCTGTGCTCGACGCATTGGCGGCCAAAGGGGTTGGTTGCGGAGATGCTGTGTCGCGCAAGGGCTCAAAGTTACTGGATACCTTGTGAGGAAGAGTGTACGGGCATTCCGGCCGAGGACTTGTGGAATTGTGCACTGTTAGCTGGAGGAGAAACAGAGGATGTCCTTAACATCGGAAACTTGTGAATGGAACGAGTTGCTGTCCCTTACATAGATCTGTGTCGGGAGTGCAATTCATCTTATTTGTTCGTTAATCGGTTAATCGCTAAGATGTTGCCCATAAGGGCATGGAAAAATACAAAATGAGCAATAATTCCTCAATTCCACACATGCACCACGAGGCATCACCAAGAAACCAATCCCGGGAACACTATTCCTCTTCGCTATCGTCATCCTCTTCATCTCCTCCACCTCCACCTCCTACACCTGAGCCATACGATCCACTCCCGCCCCTCCCACTTCCCTTGATGGGCCCTTTTGGTAACCCCATCCCGGAGATGGGCAACCCTGTCCCCCCGTCCCACACGCGGCTCCAAACTGGCACATCGTAGATTCTCATATCATACTCTGCACAACCTTCATCATACAAGGCGATCTCTTCTGGGGTGAGACCTCCACCAGGGATCGACAACGGTAATGGGCTAATAAATCGACCCTTTCGTCGGGCAGTAACAGATTCGGGAATTGGGAGCGGCTGCAGGGCGGGGTGCGACTTAGGGAGGATATGATGCGCGTGACGGAGTCTCTCAAGGAGGGTCATCCGCCGCGTCTCAAGTGCACCGATGTGCTCGATTGCTGTTTCTCAGTATGCACCACCGGCCATGATGGCGAAATGTTGTGACGTAGGAGTTTTGTGGCAAATTGCATCAGGATCGCGGGGTTTGAATATCATGGATGCAATGGACAGACCAGTTGGAGAAAAATGTTAATAATGAGGTACTACTGCGGCGACGTTGAACGGGGTGTGAATACGTACTTTTCTGCAAGACTACGGCTTCGCTTCTTGGTCCTGCCCTTCCATCCATTTTGTCACCATCCTCAAGCCCGAACGCGGCAGCGGCAGCAGCCTTGCCCTTGGCCCGCTTCTTGGCTACAGCAGCAGCGCTTTTGTCGCCAGCAGCATCTTCGCTACTCTGCCTTTCTGCCTCTTCTTCTGCGACTATGGCTTCCCTTAACGCAGGAACAATTTCGCACAATGCCTCGTATCCTCGTCGAATGTTAGCTCGGCGCTTTTGTTCCGATTGAATGTGATTGGCCTTCTTCTGAGAGGTCGAAAGAAGGGTCGGCTTAGATGACCCGCCAGAGGAGGGCCTTGCCTCCTGTGGAGATGGCTGGATGGGCATTATTTCAGCTATTGATATAGGCGTTGTTATTGGAAAGGTGGCAGATGGCGGGCCCGCGGAAGAGGCGGTTGGCGAGGGAGAAGAGCGACGCGGTCGCTTTGCGTTCGCTGCCGATGTCTCAATAGAAATTCGCTTGAGTGATGACTGTGTAGGCTGAATGGGGTGGGAGGTAGACGATGAAGATGGAGGTCCGCTTTGTGCATCGTGAACGGGAGTGATCGTATATGAGTGACTATCTTGGAGGGGGAGGAGCTAGAAGTATAAGAGGGGAGCGGAGGATATGTAGTGTGCTGAGCGTCAGGAGGTTGTGGGAAGGATCGACTCGCTTCTTGTATCTGGTCTGAGTTGATATTATATGGATACGATGGCACACTGGCGCTACGATCAAGAGACATCAAGTTTCTCGTCGCTCGAGACAGATCTTCTCTCTGGTATGTTGTGTTTGACGTCGTGTCGGGATTGGCAAATATTGACCATTCTGGGGTGAATGCATCTAACTTGTCCAGAGACGAAAGGAACGAATGGAAAGCATGGGACTCTGGTGGAGTTAGCAAGGCGAGTTGACTGTCTTTACTCTGAGCCATGGCGGCGGGATCGTCGATGCCAGTGACCGTGCGCTCAAGTCAATGGCAAGAGGCGTACCATGTTCAACATTACGCGTTTCTTCACATGATACCTGCGTGCGGAAGCAAATATTCCCACTGGCAATCAGCATTGCCACCCGGTGACCATCAACTCACTCGTTCACACCGGCCGGGAGTACTCACTACTGTACGTTAAGCAGCGCAGGGAAAACTCGGGCGAACGGGGGTTCGCCACTCGGCAACGCTTTGCCTGCAGCTTCGCCTCCCCCTCGAGCCCTTACCAGGCCATCATCACATTTTCAGATTTCGCAGGACTCATGGCGTATGAGCTCTAATCCCATTTCTGTGCCGCCACCCCTGGAACAAATCTGTGGTGCATCTTTCTTAGTATGAATGGTGCTGATTCCATAGAACCGCCCAAGTACATTCGTAAAACTTCTGACCCTATACATAAGCAGGGCTCAACTTCCACGATGCTACCTCTTTGCTTTGTTGGCATCGGAATGAACCTTCGATAATTGACCTTCAGATCCCTCATTTCTGGATCACATAAGGCCAAAACTCCGGACTCCCACGGAAGTCCCAATACGAGGGTATCAAATTCTTGAAGCCGGCTGACCCATCACCTCAACTCTTGGAAACTGCTGAATGACGGCGACCCTTGGGACTAGTTCCTCACACTTTACTAGAATGACACGACCCGTGGCATTTGGCACGGTAACGAGTCTTGTTACAGACACTGACTGCGGGTGGGCGCTAAATAACTCGAAGTTTAACATCAGTCGTTGGTGCGGTATCACCACTCTACGCCCTCACTCTGAATTCGCGGTGAACCTAGACCGAAAGAAAGTTAATGGTCTTCTCACAATGTGGAGATGTTCTCGGGACATCCTGTACTTTGGTTAATAATGAACCATCTGACTTTGATTCAAGGAAAGATAAGCGGATGGTGAACGTCAGTTGACACCACTGAGGACTCCAGTAAAGTCACTGAATATTCGATCGTGAGGCCGCAATATTACAGAAGTTGTCAGAGTATGAATTCGCTCTGGTCATAGATATGCACAGGCCAATTAGAGAAAATATTGCATCAAATGCGAAGAGAGATAAAAGCAGAAGAGTGCATCATAAGATACTGTGGATGACATCTTACTCCCGAGAACCAATTCCTAGTCATCGAGAGCAGGCACCTCTATACACAGCAAGACAGAAGAGGGGCACTACCATAGCTGTGTATAAGACGCAAAGTGGGATTTCAGATCACCTAACACAAGACAAGACGGACAGGTGAGGACACACGCCTTCTATACTATACAGACTTTTTTTTCAGAGCAGACGTTCAGTGTTTCAAAGGCGCTGCGCGCTTAACTTCAGGGAGGACGGGTGGGGGAGGTCCTTGCATGGTATGAGCAAGTCGAGAAGATGGCCCCGGCTCAGAGACGACAATATTGTTCGATGCTGAAATTGAATTGTGGGTTTCATTTGTTTTGAGCAACGCAGAAGGCGGCATCGAGATCAGACGAGAAACAGTGTATGGGAGCGGATACTTCGCAGCAGTTGCGAGGGCGATGTACCGAGCCAGCTCGAGGTGCAGGGTGGGATAGTATGTAGTTGAGGCTCGCCTTGTAATCTAAAGGGTGCAGTTGTTAAACGGAAAGTGCTCTGAAAATCGTGAGAAGCGTACCACGACAATTCGTTCGAATCCAGACGCGAACAAGTCACTATGGAACTTGAACGCAGATGCTTCATCAGTTGGGGGCAAATCCATCTCCGCGGCAGTCCGTGCGAGGGAATTGATTAGGCGGAAATGGGAAGTCTGTCGTGCACAAGTCAGACCAGCGAATCAACAGATGCGTGCAACATAACAAACCAGATATGTAGCAGCCTCGTACTCAACGCCGCCCGTCATACCCCCAGGGGCGCGAGGCTTCTCCACTTTAGCCTCATCCGTATGTGCCAGGCTCCAAATGGCGTTTTGAGGATGACAAAATACCCAGAAAAAATCCCGACATATATCACTCAGTTCCTGGAGGTATGTCTTATAGATACGTGGGACATGGAGGGACTCGATGAACTCATGGGGATCGACTGGGACACCAGGCTGTTCAGTTGGCGGTGGAGCCTTCGTCAGGAGTAGCGACTGAACAAGGCTGAATAAGGAAGAGTGTGGTGGAGGAACAGGGAATGGTGAAGGTGTGGACGGCGGATGACGGAGGTGCCTGTCCTGAAGGGAAGAGACCGAGCCAGCGTTCACCCACGAGCTGCGTTTCGACGTCTCGGATAATGCACTCTTGTGTCCACCTGAGGGAATAGTGTTGGTCGGATACAACTCAAATAAAAGGAGAAGGAGATCGATAATCAATTGCCGTGTCCCAACGTCACCCGGCTTCTTATCAGAGTAGAGCAGAAAAACGAGCTCTTGGAAAGGTGAAGGACTGGACGTCCGCAAAGCAAAACACCCAATCGACGAAGTAGAGAGTGCTTTGAAGCACCTCAGAAGCTCGTGCAGTATTTTATCATCCCGTTGTTCCTCTCTGAAATATGTGACCATGTCAACTACTATCTGAAAAATTTCGGGATCTACAAACCTCCATTCGACGTGAAGCAAATCCAATAGTCTCTCGAGCAACGCAGAATATCCACCTTCCCGAATATAAAGTTCGGTCCAGCTGGAACAAAGGTACCAGTTGGGAGTCATGAGTTTGAAAGACCTAACAAGAGGCTTACCCGGCAGCCTCATTACGAAGCATGAGACGAAGCTTCTTTAATCCCTCAACGTCTAGTTCTGTGCAAACCGAGTTCCTCAGCAGCGAAACGAATTTTGCGGTTTCTTTTTCCTTGTCCTTGCTGGAGGGACGGTCTTTCACTGACTTGTGCGAAACGGAGATGGATGACGGATTGGCTAAGAGGGTAAATGGTGATGTAGGCCGCGGAAGGCTGCTCGTCGAGCTCGCGAGCTCAGCGTTCAGCCATGGGCTTACAACCCCTTCGGGATATGACGAGCATGCAGATGATCCGGACGACTGGGTCTCAATGGCTGGGGGGTGAACAGACCTGGACCTTCCATGAGATGAGCGAGGCAACTCAGCAAGGGACGATCCACTTCGAGATTTCCTAAGTGATGGAGCTTTCGGAGGCAGCGGAGCAACGCATTCAACGTCCAGAATATGGGAAGATTTCAGCATAGATTCCTTCACGGACTTCTCCATAGCAATGAGCTTGGGGCGAAGCGATTGAGGGATCTGCAAGTCCTCAAGCATTTGCTCAAACGCTCGATTCATCGCGCGCGTTTCGAAATCGAGTCCAGCAATAGGCCGAACAGCGCCTCTAGGCACAGATGGAGATCGGGAACGGGGAGCTAAACTCGACTTGTTAGGAGGAAGCTGTACCCAAGGCGTCTGCTTCACAGGCATCGTTGGATTGTCGGTACTCGTCGAGCGACGTCTGTTTTCCTTATCATCGGAGACAAGAGACCAGAGATCCGAAGGATCTGTAGCGGGTCGTACTGAGGGCTTGTCCTTTTGCAGGATCTTAAACATGTTAAGACAGGATGGATGTCGAACAGTGTGGTGTTATTTAGATCTGTTTGGCCCACCCCATCGATACAAATAGCCCGCACGCGCTTTCCAACGCTTTTCTCCTGCTCTTCACGCATGGTTCCGCCCTCGTGTCGCACATTTGCAGCGCGTTTCCCTGGGGGACTTATAATACCCGTGCCCTTTTCCGTGTGTTTGTCGTTGTAGATGGGGTTCCGTCCGAAGGTCCTCTGGTCGCAATGCCCCAAGCGTTGTTCGAGAGCTCGTACCGGGCCATTATATGTTGGCTGCTGCTGCTGCGCCTACTGACGGGAAATTACAAGCTTGACGCCACCACGGTGTTGATCTTGTCTCGAATACAACTGCGTGCGTGAACAACTGTATATTTCACTGCATTAGATCTCTATTGTGCAGCTCCTGAGAGGAGACCTCGACCGCAAGTGGGTCATTACGCTACTCCTTCACACGCAGGTTAGGCTACGATCCAGTCATGTCTTGAGGCTGTATCCCAGACCTTGCGCAGTCTCAGCCGAACCTATCGTCACTGTACCCTGACCTTCCTTCCAACTTTCACCCTTCACCCACTCCACGCATTCACATCTTGAGCCAGATTTTATCTCCCCCGATAGCTATGCCACATTCGCAAATCACGAGAAGCGATATAGCATGGCAAGCTGACTGCTCTTGCGCCATGCCCTTCTTTTCTGATCCTGAAAGCCTATCATTAATTGACGCACTTACGTCTGGTCCGCATCCATCGAGCATTCAAAAAAATCTCATCATTTCGGAAGATTATGTGCACATATTGTTGGAGCCTATTGCACGTCTGACACGCTTGTCGCGTCATTTGGAGGTAGCATACTATCAGGAAACCAAGGCCTTTGCAAGGGATAGCTAGTTGTTCTGAACGCCGCGGTGTGGGGAGATCCAACATGTTTATTGATAGTGATACTAGCGAGTAATCGTGGAAAACGAATCGAAATAATTGTGAAGTAGAAATCGTGCAATAACTTAAATGGCAACGATGACAATTAAGGTGGGGTATCTACGGCAGCAATTTCCGGATGCCTTCTTTTTGTGAAGGCGTCAGTCTCTCAGGGAAGTCAACAATATATCTAGTGGGAAGCATGCTTCAATGTAAGCTCAAGATATCTTGAAGTCAAGCCTACCTGATGATCAAATCCCCTTTTCCTCTTGCCGTACCTTCCTTCCGTATCGGCCAGCCTTGCCCAGGAATTTTGTGCTCTGTTCCAGGCATAATGACTGTATTGGGCAATGACCACGTCACTTTCTTCCCATCGAGACCCGTAATACTGCGCGTCTGACCGGAGCTAGTAAGTGCGTCGCCTAGTGGGACATGGTAGTTAGCGACGAGTATATCTCCTTCGCGTTTAAACACTGGATGCAGTATCTCCTCGATCACGAACACCATGTCTGGCGGATCCAGGCCATCGTCGCGCTCATTCCCGATACCACTGAAGCGGACTTTAGTGCCTTCTTTCCAACCGGGTTGTATCTAATAACAGGGAGAATGTGTCAATCACACGCGAATGAATGGATTGGAAAGACGCTCAAACCTACGTCTATATCGACCACCTTCTCCTGGGTGGTCCCATCGTTCAGTTTTCTGTTTATCTTTAACGTTTTCTTCGTTCCAGTAACTAAATCCTCGAGTGGTACCTTTAGTGGCCGCACAACATCTGGAGCTTTAGTCGAGTCGGAACCAGGGAAGTTGGCCGAACTAGCGGTGTGCCGTCGTTCGCTAGGCCGACGAGCACGCGGTGATGAGCGGCCACCGCGGGGTCCGAACATCCCGAAGGGTGAGCCTGGCGCATCATCTACATCCATATCGAATAATGAGCTGTGCCCCCCCATCCCAGTGAAGTTTTGGAAGAATTCCGCGAAGATGTCATTCGGATCCTATATGACGCCATTAAAACCGGAAAGATATGGTGTTAACGAACAAGAAACACTTGCAGATGGTTTGAAACCTCCCCGAGCGGCTGATGGGCCAGATGAAGTGAAGGTGAAAGTGCCGCCGCCAGGGAAACCTCCAAATCCACCTGGAAATCCCCCAGGGAAGCCTCCTGAACCCCCAGCCCCATTCGGTGAAGGAGCCCCATGCTTTAGTCCTATAGGGAAAAATATAGTCAGGTTCGAACCACGTCACTCTGAGCGACGCACCTTCTTCGCCAAATTGATCGTAGACAGCGCGTTTATTGGAATCTATGCCATCAAAATCCATAAGTACTCCATTGACAACCCAGTGGATGGCTTCGATTGCCAACCTGAAAGGACTTCATATGCCTCGCCAACCTGAAGAGCAGGAGTCAGTATAGTCATCCGATCTCATCGATCGTAAATAAACACTAGCCTCTTTGAACTTCTCGGCAGCTTTTGTGTTCCCGGAGTTGCGGTCTGGGTGCCACTTGAGAGCTTGTTTCTTGTAAGCTAGAATGGGGTAATCAGGATTGAACTACGACAAGGCGCTTGTGCAAAAGCGGGTCGAGTTTCACCTACCTTTTTTGATATCATCTTCGGTGGCAGTCTTTGGGACATCGAGTATTGTGTAGTAATCCTTTCCCATAGTGGCGAAATCGGGAGGACTGACAATTGGGAGTGAAGCGGGGTTTCTTATATGGCGCCGGACAGAACTTGCCAGAAACGACCAGGTGTGTGTGTGTGTTGATATTTAACGTGCACGTGGAGGCTGCCCGATTAGGGCGCCAAGGGCACGGATCAAAAGATTAAAAATTATGACAAAGTAGAGAAACTAAAGCATGAGGTTGCGTGGGTTCGGAATCTAGGGATTCCTACACCGTTTCCAGGGGGGAGTGTACGGGGGTTGGGTGATACGGGTGCCGGCTCCGAGAATTGTTGGCCAGACGCATGGAGCGTGCCTCTTGATGCTTTGGAGTATCGCGGCGACGGGATAGTTGAAACGGCACCTGAGAATGTTGGCCAGACGAACTCCTTCGTGCCTCTTGGTCTTTTGGAGAACCGCGCTTCGGGAACGAAAAGGAAGCTAAAACCGTTAGGCGCCCACATGGGAGGCGCGAGAAACGACTAGGTCATTCGGCCACGTGCGCCTAAATGATCTGGGTAAGCGCCCACAAAGCTGACGGTCCCGAGTCCAAATTTCAAACCTACCCCCGAAGTGTTGAGACTCAATACGTCATTTTCTGTCCTTCCTTCTAAGTTGGTGTGGCTTCAGTTCGGCAAGTATTCAGGAACTGCTCTGCACAATTCTACCACCGTTGCCACGGTCAGGTTCGGTTCAGATTTTTCGAGGACCAGAACCGGGACCGTCCCAAAATTTCGCTGTCCTGTCGAACCAGGACCAAACCGTAGGCAAACCGCGGTTACAGTCCTGGGGCCGTTCAGTTCGGTCCTGAGACCGTCCCGGCAATCTTATTATGAAGAGAGTGTGTATGATAGTACGTATAGTGGGAACTGGTGCTGTCAACTGAGCATCAAAACTCAAGATCTATTCCTTCTCTCTCCGCACGATCCAAGATAAGAATTCCCGCCACTCTTGAACCTTCGCTTCCTCTGAAGCCTTCCTCTCCTTGTCCTTGAGGCGATTCCGCTGTATGTCGGCTTTGGCGATCCGGATAGCACCGAGATGCAGAGGGGTGATACGACTCCGGGTGTCGCTGTCAGTGTGTTTTGCGGCAGAGAATGCCCTTTCACATGGGACAGAAGATGCGGGGACCGAGAGCATGTCTTGGGCAATGGACCTGAGGACTGGATATGCGGAACCTTCTTTCTGGGAATCGGGATAGGTTAGTTCAGCAAACAATACCATTGTAACTAACAATACTTACCATCCAGAAGTTGAGGATCAGGTAATCGCTAAGATAGCGTGTGAGCTCCGCACCAGGATCATCGCTAACTAATTTCTTGAGCTTGTTGAGCTTGACTGGCTGCAAGATGGCGAGAAAACCCATAGGATATTTCATCGGTCAAGGGAGTGGTTGCTATAGATACAATGTCACCTCCAATCATCCTGGTTCCATTTGAGGAAGTGGACCAAGTCACGTAGGTAGAATGATATTCAATAAACTTGTAGTCGTCAGTGACAGTTAGGCAATAAGTAGATGTTTTGATTTATGCAAGATGTTTCATACCTGTGCTGAGAATGGTGAGAGGTGACATGTCCATTTCATCGTAATATTTCCCCATAATAGCAATGCTAGCATCGAGTGCATCATAGATGTTGGCATATTGTCAGGGATGGCTCAGAAGTGACAGGGGTTGTGGTGTGTTGTCTGGCGCTAACGGCCCGGATGGCAGCAGAGTCGTGGGAGTGTATGTTGGGCAGCCCTCACTTGGGCAGATGTCCCTGCAAGCTTCTTAGACTGTGTCAGGGCACACCTGCCCAACCCGGCTCCACCCAGCTTCACCCAGTACCCTGCTCACCTCCACCCCTCACCCTTCACCATCGTTTCTCACTTCTTGTTCTTCCTTTTGTCCTTCTGTTCTTTTACTCTCTTGCTCTTTCTTCTATCTTTATCTACATGGACGACATTTCCCCTTATCTATGTATTATTGACCCGCCCGCGACGCGTGCACGACGCACCCAGCCCCAGACGACCTGGACGGCCTCACGGTGCAACCCAGCATGCGTGTGTGCAGCACACACCCTCGGGATCCCCCACATGGACACCCGGATGACCGCAGCTGTATGCGGGATGATGTGGCAAACCTCATGTGACCCAAGCCACATGTACATAAAAGTACCTGGGGTGGGAACCAAAGAAGTAACCTTCTTCTCACAGTTCCCACTTCAGGTAAGTAGCATAGCTTCCCTTTTAATAACAACCCACAGTTCCCACTTCAGTCTGAGTGGCCAGGGATCGTCATCCTGGATCGGGCCCATCACTATGCACACCCACTCTACACCTCGCGACGGCCTCAGTGCCGGGTGTTACACCTGGGCCCTGTCAGGGTTCAGCACCCTGCCCTAGGGTGCCCCAGACTCCCCAACCAATCCCTTCCTTCCATTCCTTCATTGTTGCCTTGTTGTTGCCTTTCTGTGTTGTGTATCCGCGCACATGAGATAGCGTGGGAACTTTCTGAGCAAGCAGCTCGCCCAGAATGTTCCCACAGGTCACAGCCACAGTTCTGGGCAAGCAACTCGCCCAGAATGTTCCCACGCTTACTGGGCACTGCCACCTGGATGTTCCCTCTGGGTCACACTACACAACTCTAGGAGCTGTATAGTTGTGGGCATGTGACCCATTCCTTTATATAGCAACCATGCGGGGAGATGAGACCTTTACCCTTCTTCTCATCTCATACCCCGCATAGGCAAGTGTATATATATTCTTTCCTTTTACTATACATCTCATACCCCGCATAGTGTGAGGACAGGCCAGATGGGGTTGAGGTCAGGGAGCCTCCGAGTCCGAGGCCGGGCCCTGACAGGCCCCCTCGACCCCAGACACGTCCCTGATAGCAGAAGAAGGTTTTAACCTTATCTCCCCCACCTCCCCTATCTCCCCAGCCATGGTGTCAGAAGAGCAGTACGATGACCTGCTGGCCCGCTTCCAGGAGCTCCAAGCTATTGTGGAGAGCCAAGCCCGCAACCACCCCCCACCCGCACCCGCACCAGCACCTGCGCCTGTGCCCATCCCTATACCCACACTCATGCCTAAGCCCAAACCACCAAAGGTCACCCCCCCCACCCCCGTCTTGGGAGCCAGCAAGGACCTCGACCGTTTTAAGGCCAAGTGCGGGATCTACTTGTCAGGGGACGGACCCCGGGTCCCCATGACCCCTCTCTACAGTCCACAGTCTGGCCTGTAAACACAGCCCATCTCAGGGCATAGCTACTGTGGGTAAGAAAGTGTATAGATAAATGAAGAGTAGGCTACACTTGCCTACTGTGGGTAAGAAAGTGAGAAGAAGGTTAACTTCTCACTTTCCCACAGTGGCCCCAATATGGCGAAAACTTCCAGGGATACCCGGAAGTCACATGAGGTGGGATCCGGGGTCGGATCATGCGGCGCAGGAAGTGCGTGGGAAGTGGAGCGGGTCCGGACGCGGGTCCGGGTCCGGGCTAAGTCAGGGTATGTGCCCTGACACTACTTCCATGTCCACACTGCCAAGTTCCCCACCAAGCTATCCCAGATCCTCTTCGTCCTCTCCTACATGAAGGGAGGACCCACAGGGGCGTGGGCGACACAACGGATGATCACCCTGCTAACGGCCAACTCCCCCACCATTACCATGGACGAGTTCAACACGGAACTCGATGCCATGTTCCAGGACCCAAACCGGGAGGCCACAGCCTGGCAGAAGTTGGCAGTCATCCGCCAAGGGACTGACTCTGTGGATAAGGTTATCCAAGAGTTCAAGATACTGGGACCCACCTCGAGGCTAGGGGATGTCAGGCTGGTCGACCGATTCAAGCAGGCGATTAACTCCCGGCTCAGGGAGAGCATATACCACCTCCGCCCCATGCCCACCACCTGGGCTGAGTGGAAACGCGAAGCCACACTTCTGGACAACCAGTGGCAACGTTTCCAAGCCACCCAACCACATGCACCCCCGCCCAGACCCCCGCTCCTGCCAGCTTGACCTCCACTAACCGCGACCCCATCCCAGATGCGACCCATACAGACCCCCCTATGACCTGCTCCCACACCTCCGCCCCCCACTCCAGCAGCCCACTCCACGTCAGGGACAGGCCCCCAGCCGATGGACCTCGACAGGTTGAGGACTGACCAAAGGAGGTGCTACAACTGTAACACCCTGGGGCATCTCGCACGAGAGTGCCCACACCCCAGGGCCAGCCGAGTACGACGTCTCCACCCAGAAGACCTAAGGGCGCTGATGGAAGGGCTGAAGAGACAGCTGACTGAAGGGACAGAGACAGTGGAGGAGGAACCAGAGGCGGAACCTCAGAGGGATTTTCAGGCAGGTGACCGGTGAGGGATGCATCCCGGCCACCCGTAGAAGATAGCTCGTGTAAATACTGCAGCGCGTGTAAGCCAACGCCAATGCCAAAATTTCACCGAGTCATCATGAAGAAAAAGAGGAGAAACACACCCTCCACCCGTGAGAATGAGAAGACCCCAAGGGCAGTGACGCCCGAAGTAGCGGTCTCCCCCCCCACCATTTATGTCCTTTCCAAACAGTCCCCTAGGTCTCTCAACCTCACAGTAAAACTGACCGCCCTAACCTCCCTTGCGTCAGTGTCCGTATCAGCCCTCCTGGACTCAGGAGCCACTGGGAACTTCATAAGCCCTGAGTTCATCCGGAAGCACAGTCTGGAGACAATCCCCCTTCCCCAGCCCATTCCTGTCCATAACGTTGATGGAACCCTGAATGAGAATGGAGCTATAACCGAGGAGCTAGAGGCCCTCCTGACCTTCAGGCGGCACACAGAGCGGGCACGCTTCGCAGTCGTGAATCTCGGGCAGCAGTCCCTCATCATAGGACACTCCTGGCTGCTGCACCACAACCCAGAGGTGGACTGGGCATGACAGAAGGTCATCATGTCCCACTGCCTGTCCTCCTGCAGACAGCCGTGAGTACAGGATGACCAGGACCCTATACTGGAGCCTGGGGATGGGATCTACGCTGCAATCATTCCCCCAAGCTGGAGCCACGACCTAAGGGCCACCACGACCCCCTCGCAGCAGATGGCCCAGGAGGCCCACGACCCAGAGGCTGAG